CCAGGGAGGCACTTGGAGCCTGGAAGGTGGTCGGGTGCAGTGAGGTGGGTGGCTCAATGCAGGAGCACCCCCTACTGGCCTACCACACCATACACTCAAAGTAATTCCTTTCCTATTATGTTTGTAAAACTATTTACTACTATGGTACAATAACAGGGGGAGTTCCTAGGCTTAAAGTACAAGACAAGATATTGCTTTTGATTCTTTTCTAGAAGTTCTAGAGAACGCTGAATATAACAAAGTTGTCTTTGAAAGAAGTTATGACTGAGTTCATTGCAATTAGGCTTAACAACTACAGAACTATTCATGTTTGATTTTTTTTTTTTAAACAAAAAACAGAAAACCCTGACCTTTCCCTCCGCTCCCTTCCCAAAAGAGAAGAAAAACCAACCAAACTGCAAACACACGTGCTTATAGGATCCAAGCTTTTTTAGGGATCTAGGGCTGAATTAAGAATGTCCATCAGAAAGCACTTGTATGCATGCTTGAGACTTGACTTCTCATTGCTGTCTGTCCCAGAGGGACAGTTGCCAGGGGACAAGAGACCCCTCCTGCAGCAGGATCTGGGACAGGGGCAGCCCGTCTCTGTGGGAAAAGCCCTGAAGGGGCTGGGGAGAAACAGACAAGTCATACTGGCACAAAGCGCCTGTGCGGTTCATGAGCTGCATCTGTTGATGCCAGCATGGGCGGGTGACATCATTCCTGGACACAGCCTGGCTGGAATAAAAACTAGCACCAGAGAGACCATGGGGAAAGCACCATAGGGAGCCAAAAGCGAGGGTGCTTCCCATGCCGGGCACGAGTAGTGCCAGTGAATGCCAAGGGACTTTGTGCTGGTCCCACCAAAGGAGTCTGCAACCAAGGAAGGGAGCCAGGATGATGCCCGGGGAACTACTAGGGCCACCGGCACTGAGTCAGTGAGTGGGGATGGGTCACTGCCCTACCCCTCATTCTTCTGCTAAGTTCTTCCTTTTTTTCCGCCCCCTTTTCTCTTACTGCTCGAGACTGCCTGGAAAGACTCTGAGGTGAGAGTCAGGATCACAGGCAGTGCTCCAAGGGGAGGACCAGCCAGGAGACCACGGCAGGCAGTTGGGTCATAACCAGAGGCACGGCAGAAGAGCAGGGACAGCTCAAAATGCCCCGAAGAGATGGCAACTGGGAAGAGGCAACTGTAACCCAGGTCGGTTGAGGAGAGGGGAGAGACTATACTAGAGAGCAAACTGCACCAATACCGAGTGGCCATCCTGGAAGCTGACACATGGAGTGTAGGGGAGGTGGAGCCCCATGGATACCCAAGAGGTGCAGCTGATCTGAGAGTCCACAGGAAGGGAGCCCACCACTGAAAGAAAGATTGAAGTAATGGTAGGAGAGTATCTGGGCTTCCCTTGAGGAGATCGTGGGTCCTCTCCGAGGCTACTGAAACTTGTGCAGTGGCCAGCACCAGGTGCACATGCCAAGGCAGCATGTGAGCACCTTTTTGAGACCAAGCAGGCACACAGTCCTTAATGCAATAGGCTCCAACACTGGTCCAAACTACTGCCTGAACCTTAAAAACTTTAGAAACTTACATTTTAAGCAACTAAGTAAAGCTCCTGCTCCCAAGCTTGTTGGTGCATCACTATCTGTTGAAGTAGTACTGTATGAATAATCTAACTCACAAAAAGCAGATATGGTACAATGAGAACTCAAAATACCAAGGTCAGTACTAATAAAATTATATATCCTCTGCCATAAAAAAAATCCTTTCCATTTTGGCTTTAACTTCCAAATGGAGTTGGGGAATTGCAGGAAGTGCACCAGGCAAGTTTCTCAAAGAGTTGAAAATGTAAAAAGAAAAGCAAGATTTCTGGTAAAACTCGTAGATGACAAACTGGCTTGGTAAATATTCAGGGGCAGTCATAAGGCAGTGTTTCCCCAACTTTTTCCAGCCCCAGGCACACTTACATTAATAAAAATTTTCTGTGGCACACCTGTTAAAGCATTCCCCACCCTCATACCTATTGTAGCTCATTGCCATGGCAAAATTCCACAGTACACCTGCTTGTTTCCAGCCAGTGTGCTGTCAGAAATGATGATATAAGGCACTTCATTCTACTTAACAAGTGAGGCCTATTCAAACAAATATTTATACAACATAATAACAAGAATACAGACCAAAGAGTGGAGAATCGCACCCTGGGAAGCAAATCTAAAGCAAATATAGCAGACAATAAAGTTACCATTCTTCCCCAGTATGATGTTGTGGCCAGAAGAAGCTAAACATAAGCCTTGGTTCTACAAAACAGGAAAGTATGGAGCAGGCGAGTGCTTTCACCTCTGCACAGGGCATCTGGCAAAGCAGTTACTGAAACTGCTTATAGTCCAATGTTCACAGTATGCTTCCCACATTGGAAGAAACACTGTAACAAAGCACTCAATCTGTTTGATAGGCTAGAGTAATAATTAGTTCTCTCAGTGGGAGGAAAACACTCATGGATACAGAAGGGCTTTTCATTGAGAAAGCCATAACAGGAATGGCTAGGAGAGGCAAGATACATTCAAAACAGAAAGATTGGGCATCACCTTATAGGAGCAAGGACAATGAGCTATTAGAAAAGACCTCCTAAAGAATTGCTAAATTCTCCAGCTGTCACCATCTTCCAGAGAAGGCATCCCTTTCTGGAAGGTAATTTTAGTTTCAGTATCAGAGATGAAAGTTGACGTTGCCTGCAAAGTGGTTGCAAACCATTGTTACCTATACACCAAGCACAAAAATAGGCATTTTTTAGCTCAAGGCTCAGTATGCAGGCCTTAGTGTTGTGCAAGTAAGTGCTTTGTGGCAAAACATGTCATAGGACAGCTCCTATATAACTAGGGTAGTATTTTAGTGAAGAAGAGGTAATGTGAACTTGGCATCTTCTTCCACTTACACACCAGCAAAAGCCCACAATATCACCTCTCCCCAGTATTAAGTCAAGACATGCAACACTGCCTATCTTTGCTAGAGGAACTGGAGAAGGAAGACAGTATCCCTTTAACTCCCATGCCTTTTCTCTTTAACTCAGCAGTTAATGTACCAAGCAAAAGCAAGTATCAAGAGAACAGAGTCTCAAAAAAGTCAGCCAACTATCAGCAGCCCCAGGTAAATTTTAAAATGTATTACTTAATGCCAAATCACATCATTGTTACATTAGTTTTGTGGCTCTAGGTGTTTAAGGAATGAAAGTAGCAGCTCAGTTTAGATCTCCTTGTGAAGGAGAACAGAAGAGCAACACAACTTCCAATAGCTATAAATGTAGTCAATGCTGCTGAGATTTTAGTTTTTCATATGCCTATTTTCAATCAATAGTTGAAATTGCACTTATGAAAGAAATTGTCAGTCAATTTTTACGAAGTGATATTTAATGATTTTTCACATACAAAATGAAGGGAAGACAAATCTAATTTTCGTATCAATACTGAACATATGCCAAAATAGCTAAAATTAAATGTTAAAAAACTGCAAAGGGGAAGAATAATAAAAGCTGCTCAGTCCCATTTTATGTAATATTATAACCTGAAATACCATCTCATGCAAATGTCAGTGACCTTCAGTGAATTAAAAACAAACAAACAAACAAACAAACAAACAAACAACATACACACGCGCGCACACACACACGCACACACACACACACACACACACACACTGAGGTCTAGTGCAAGATGCATTATTTTTAAACCCAGTTTAGCTGCGATATCCTGGCAGTAAACTCACATTTGGGAGAAAAAACAAAATACATAAATAAAAAGCCTTCATATTTTTTTCTGTTTCTGATTAATAAAATTACCATACCAAGTACCAATGTAATTTCCCAATAGTTTTGTATTTAGCAGCTGAAGAGATTCTTAAAGAGAGCACTGCAAGTTTTGTTGTTCATTATTGCTCAGTGAGTCCATACCAGATGTTCCGGTGAAGTAAAATAGCTGCCACTCCTTTCAGCCAACCCTGCAAACCCCTGCTACCCTTATCAATCCAGATGGATTTTTCCTTTTGAAGCATCAGCCCCAGCAATGAGCATGGATCCAATTAGGTCCCCATGTGACCCTTGAGTGACTGATTTTTACTTCTAATGATGATGCACCCGAAGACAGAATCCACCTAATGTCCCAAACTCAGTTGGCTCTGCAGGGTCAACAGATCAAAAATAAAACAATCAGAAAAGCATATTTGCCATTTGAGTGAGTAGTTACACCCCTGAATACACAGAGAAATGTATGTGCTGAGGAAGGTCATGCCACGATGACATACTGTGATTTCAGAATAGAATTGGATTTCAAGTTAGTTCACAGTTGCTCTATGGAAGCATCCATTGATCTGTTTTGGTTAACTTGTGGTTTTTAAAAAAAATCAAGCAAACTAGAAGAGTGATGGTGATGTTCTTACAACCCAAACTCATTTAGTAAGTTTAGAAGTCAATTTAAAAATCAATTAATTCTGAGACAATATCTTGTCTTAACAGAAGGAATAAAAAAAAAAAAAAAGTCATCAATTCCACAGATTTAAGCTGCACTCCAAGTTCGGCTCTCTTCTTCAGAAAGGACATTCTAGCCATTGCTATTACAGAGAGAGCCTTTAGTATGTTAACCTGTGTGCACATTCAACATGACTGAGCCTGCATCCAGGCAGAACTGAAATATCAGTGAAGGAAACATGGCAATCTTTAATTCAAATTAATGGAGAATTTGATCCATTTGATCCCCACTTAAGAGAAAATAATGCCACTATACTTTATTACATTACTGATCCGAATGCCTGAAAAAAAAAAAAAATTTTTCACAGCACCTGGCTATGTCAACAGAATGACAAATTCACATTTATTTGAAACAGAGAAGGGTATAAGCACTCACTATGCTAGTAGCTAGGTCAACCACAAGATAATTGTGACAGACTTCTTACAATTCTTGAATTACAGCAAATTTGGTGTTCATATTGCTGTCATGTACAGCACTGGATAACTGAAGTTCAGCACACTGTCAAGCTTGACCTGATAACTGCTACAATACCATGTCATTTAAAAAAAATTAAGATCTCTTGTTCATTTGTAAATAATCTATAAATATTAACTTGTACCCATTTTCAAATAAAAAAAGTGAACCCTCTAGCTCTGTTCTACAATAAGGTACAGAGATCTTTGTTAGAATGTCTGAAATTTCTACTTTTATCAGGGTATATTCAATCATACTGAATGATAGGAAGAATGCTTCACATCAGCAATTAATAACCCCAAGTGAGATCAGAAATACTTCCTTCATCCTGTTTCTTCACAGCATCCAAGTTCTCCTGAGCTACATAAAACAGTTTATGACAACTGGCCGCAATCTGTAATGAGAATCTTTTTGTTGGTCTTTCCACTCTTGGTACCAAAACCCTCAATTTTCTTTACAACTTCCATTCCTTCCTTTACGTAGCCAAAAACAACGTGTTTTCCATCTAGCCTGTAACAGAAAAAAATGCATATGTAATAAAAATCTATATGTAAAACTAAATCCACCCTGAAGTAAAGCAGGGATTATCACACCTTTAAATGGGTTGCTCAACTTCTCAACAACACTGTTTACCGAAAAAAAGGACAATACAATAAAGCAGGGATGTCAAAAATGACCTGCTGCCCCAGGGAACCCTATCATCTGGCCCCTCAATGACGCCTGAGGATCTCAGAGCAAACCATAAGCAGCATGCGAAATGCAGATGGCCCTGCACGCCCCACACAGTACCTGTTCCAGATCACATCCTGGAGTGGCTACATGAAGTCCAGAGCCATTCGACACAGCCCTGGCAACAGCTAAAAGCAGGACTGGGCTGCAGGCAGCACCCACTTTGGCTGCTTCATGACATGTTGGAATGTGGGGCCAGTCTGTGGACCAGTTCTGCACTACTTGTGTGGCCAGATGAATTTGACACCCATGCAATAAAGCATTAGCCCTGGATCCTAAAATTCCCTTGTCTGATAAACAAAGGTGGCATGATAATGACCTTATTTTGTAGCATCCAATTTTGCACGTTCCAGATTAAGAGGTAAATGGTAACAGAAATTAAGTGGAATATAGACAAGAAGGGTTGTTTTTTTTGTTTTAAATGTGGCAGAAAACCCCAAACCAAACAAAATACGAAAAAAGGTGTTGATATAATTGAGGCAACACCTATGCAAAATGTGTTCCAAATAGCAGAAGCATTATACCAACAAGATGGTGAAGAGAGAGGGGGAAAGCTGGGGCTGGAGAGTCTGACCTCAGGAAAAAAAGTCAACAACTCCCTTGTGAGTACATGGCATTTGGATTGGATGGATCAAGGCAGCATGGCATCTAGTGGAAAAAAAAAAAAATACAGGTCTGCAAGGAAGAAAGTCCTGACTTGATCATAGCCTCTCTGGGTTTGTCTCCCTTTGAATAAAATATTTACTTGTACTATGCAAGTGAATTTGTTCAAGGTAAATTAGCATGGAATGGAATATAAAGTGTAGATCGTATTAAATTAATATTCTACACTTTTGTAAGATCTCTCTCAAAACTGTACAGCAATTGTGTATTGGCACACACAAAAATACCTTCAGCTAGGTTGTATAAAACACATAGCTACTGAAGCAGCTCCAGAGTCCCAAGATGCATGCTCTCAGAATTGCATTTAACCTGTACATGCAACCATGAAATCCAGTGGAGAGGTAGATCTGGTGGTAGACTTGCTCATTAGTTACTTGTTGTCTAGTGTAATGCCATGTGCACAACCCTCAGGCTATCTGAGGTATTGCAAGTTATATAGCTACATTACTGCAGCCATGCAGGGACTGCAGAGCAAGGCTGGGTTTGGGTTTTAAAGGGAACCTTGCATTTGGAGTGAAAGGTTTCCTTTAAAATAATGGCAGAATTGGGATCAGTCCCCAGTCCTGAAAGTCACACAGGCAGCCATGTTCATAGGCATATCCTTTGATTCTGGGTCAAAAGAATATTTGCTAGCAAAAAGTGGCAAAAATGTCACTGACCAGTAAATATTTGCTTTAACCTAAAAGCTCATCAGCTTCACTGGGAATTTATTTTGGACTCAAAGTGAGCAAAATCCAACAGTGAAGGATAAAACAAAATAAGACAGGGAGACCGGAAAATGGCAGAAGAACATTGCCACAAATTGAAGGAATGTGATAACAAAGATAAGGCTTTCATTTTATAATGACCTGTGCAACTGCACAGAGTAATATCCACTGCTTCTAGAAGTGGCACTTCCCTTACACTTCCTTGGTTTTAAACCTCTCACCAAACATTAAAACAGATACCAATAGAGCAATTACCATACACTAAGAAAAAAACAAAACAAAACATGCATTAAACATTACCACATGCAACCAATGGAACACTTACCAGTCAGTTTTGGTAGTGCAAATGAAGAACTGAGATCCATTTGTATTGGGGCCTGCATTGGCCATTGAAAGAACACCTATAACAGCAACAAAATCATGAATTGGAGATTAACCAATATGAAAGCGCACAGTTGAAAAGCTGTTTTTTTTACTCTGCATGAGCAAGAGCAGTACTAATATAGAACAAGCAAGAGATGCAATAACAAATGCTGTTTCTACTTGGCCTCTAATATCACGTCTTTGCCCTTTCACTACGAGAGATGATATAGCTAGTTGAAATACCATTTTTACGTCAAGGTTGTCAAAGTCATGTAAAACTCGTTATGTTTTCCACAGAAAACAGAAAGAGCCAATACTGACAATTTCCATCAACAACATCATTTTAGAAGTGGAACTCTCCTACAGCTATGAAGGATGTCTGCATCATTCAAATCACTACCATACTGAGATGTGCAAGCAGCCACTTGGCGCACACCCTTCCAAACCAGAAGTACTATAGCCACTTTTGTGTATACCTTGCTTGAAGCGCACTATCAGATAATGCGGACATAAGCCCATTAAATATCCATACATCACTGGATTTTCTCCTTCATGGGTCTGTCTACAAGTTTTTGTGCGCCTAAACTTGACGTGCATTTGCCTAACATGATTAAGGCGACTGAGGCATGTGTCTACATGTATATATGCTAAGGTGCATTAACAGCGTGCGGACTGACTTGGGAGTGAAGTCAGTCCCAATGCGCTAAGGTGCATTAATATTGTGCATGTCAATTGACTTGGGACTATAGTTAGTCCCAAGTCAGTCAATATACACAGCGTTAATGCATCTTAGCATGTCCTGACATGCATGAAGGCACTTTAGCTATTCGTGCCTAAATTTGATACCTCCTTTTTCAGGTAACAAATTTTAGTCTATTTTAAAATTGCCATTTTTAAGGTGCATTGAGGGTGTGCACTTGTAGACCTGCGCCCTTAATGTGCCTTTAAAAATTGGCACATTTCATAATAGCTAGGGTCAGGAGGGACCTGAACAGATCATGTAGCCTGAGACCCTGCCACAGGCAAGCATGAAA